ACCCAAACCCATAACTGCAACCATATCCCTTACTCTAACACAAACAATATGTATACAATAACTCTAATGCTATCCCTAATCCCAACCCTTACCCTAACCATAACACTAACCCTAACCATAAACCTAAACCTAAGCCTAACACTAACTCTAATCCTAACCCTAACCCTATCCTAAACCTAACCCAAATCCCAACCCTAACGCTAAATTTAAACCTAACCCTAACAAAAACATTACCTAAACCCGAACTTTAACCCTAAACCTAACTCTTACCCTAAGCCTAAGCTTAACCCTCACCCTAACCCTGAGGCTCTGCCTTTCCAGTGCAGTTGTTGCGTCATGCAGCAAAACAAAAAGAAGTACAAAAAGAACAAGAGCTTTCTGTGTGGCCACCTTTGGACTGGGAGGTATCTTAGACAGCACTGAACCCTAGAAATAACCTTAAAAATAAACCTAAACTTGAACCTAATGCTAAACTCTAAACCATAACAGTAACTCTATCTCTTACTCTAACCAAAATGTTACTGAAAACCTAACCCTAACCTAATCCTTACTCCTAACCATAACCCTAACCCTAACCCTAAAACCTAAGCCTAAATGAAAGCCTAAGCCTAACCCTAAACCATAGCCCACTAGACCTAAACCTAGACCTTAACCTTAACCCAAACCCAAACCCTAAGCCCTAAACCCAAACTCAAACCCTAAACCCTAAACTCTAAACCCTAAACCCTAACCCTAAAACCTTACACTAACCCCTAACCCCAACACTGACCCCTAACCCCTAACCATAAAACATAAACCTAAACCTAAGCCTAACCCTAACCCTAGTGAAAGGGACATTGGTGAAATCACAGGAGATTGATGAAAACAAAGAGACAGCTGTGATGTCACAGGGACATCGGTGACATCACATGAGACATCAGTGACATCACAAGTACATGGCTGACGTCAGTGACATCACTGGAGATATTGGTGGCATCATAGGGGACAGTGGTGATATCACAGGGACATGGGTGACATCATTGGGTACCAGTGACATCACAGGAGACTGTTGAAAACAAAGGGACAGGCATGGTATCACAGGGAAATCAGTGACATTACCAGGGACATTGGTTCTGTGGTTGTCAGGGGTCAATCCAGAATGGAGAGGATAGGCTGTGACATCACAGAGTCCCATGGCAGACATGTGGGGCTGCATTCTTGGGGTGTGAGGCATTAGTTCTTTGGTG